AACCTCAAGTCTTTTTTGGATCTCATATTGCCTCGACTAGAGGACTTGGAAGTATGACGATCGAGTCGAGGAGTATTTCATCATTGTTGAAGACAAAAGGATGCACATGAAGGCAGAGAGCCTACGGGATCTGCAGGAAACTGATCTTGGAGAAACTTGGTTGAGTGCTTCATGCCCACCCAGCCCTGATTATAAATGACAATTGGATGTGTCTTTGCCAAAAATTGAGGCATATTCCGTAATCTCCAAGACCCACATGCAGTCAACACAACCAGTTAACACAGTGGCCTCAACACCTTCGATGGTTAAACTCCCAACCTGCCAACATCTAATCTCGCACCCACTGCGCATTCCTGAGGAGACAGGCTTGGACAAACGCCCTGATGGTCTTCCGGAGGATCTGGTCAATATTCCGGATCCTGTGCCGGCACCGGAGGTGGTAGGATCCCAGGACAGGTTCATTCCTTGAAGGGGTTGTGCATCATCCATGCCCAGTCATGGTTTGTTTGCAGAGTAAATCGAATAGATCAATGGCGATCAATTTGGGTTTGTCATAACAAGATTTGCATGAGTGTCCCTGGCCAGCCTGTCCACGACTTGGAGAATTACATGCAGCAGTTGGAGAAAAAACAACAGGTTGTGGAAAAGATGCTGGGAAAGCTGTCGCAACAATCCCAAGATGTTGCCCACAAGTCTTTTGGTTCAAGAAGGTTTTTATAAATCCTACCACTCCATGCGCCCACCTATGTATGCAAAGATTCGCTCCCAATTCTCTTCCGAGGTTGCATTCTGCCCTGGAGCCCTTGAAGAAGCGCATGGAGGTTAGCTACGAGAGATTTGCTGCCTTCCTTACCGAGCTGAAAATGGACCACAGGGATGGAAAATGTGTCAGCGATCGTTTGACTCAGTTCCTTGGGCAAAGGGATTCAGTGTTCCACAACCTTGCATCACGATGCCCCAAACTGGGTTGTGTTCTGCGCTTTTTGGGTCAACCATGTGATGAGGACAAAGAGTGGCTTGAAAAACCTTTGACTCGATCAGTTGGAACAGAACATGACACCACAACTTGATCCATGTGTTCGACTGATGGTGATGGCACAATAGGTCCATTAATGACTGATGCATGGCACAAATATAGGTCGATCCATTAACATCCCAAACCCACCAGTTAAGATCCTTTATTTTCTGCCCCTTCCCTCGATTCCCACCCACCAAAGCTTCCTGAAGAACATCGAACATACCCAATGGAGAGATGTCCTGGAGGGAGCAGTGACCATCGTCGGACTTGATGGCGTCAATCATCTTCGAAAGCCTTGCGACGGAAGCAACGCTCCACCTGAAGAGTGTACGATTGTTTCATAGCAGCCCCAAAACAAGTTATGTGGGTTTAACCATGTTTGCAACCTTGTGTTGCGCTATGTAGGCATGCTATCCAAGTGCCCAACTACCCAGGCAAATCGCAACACATGATCCATTCTCAAAAAAACAAACCTGTGCTCGGGGAAGTTTTAACAAGTAAAGAGAAAAAACCCAATTGTTCCAAATTCCTGCTGCATTCATTTGCGGCCAAGGCTTTTGAAGGAGATTGCTGAGCAAAAGAATGAGGTAAGGAACCAGTGACTCGGATCCATCTTGGGTTTTCATGGCAGAAGCTTGAACCTTTGGACCTCGTGTTCCTTTCCCAAAAGCTCCTTACCCTCTCAGGTGCACCGCTTTGATTCCATATGAAGCTCGCTACAGGCCCTACTGCACGATCCTTTTGATCAAACACATTATTGATTGCATGTGTCAACTTTCGGTCAGCCTGCCAAAGATCTGAACATCGAGGAGACAGCCAGTCCAAGAATGGGAAACCCCGCCCTGGGAACAAGTCCAGACAGGACCAAACAGACCAGCCACCTTGTGCTGCAGCTCTCCTTCTGCCTCGGCGAGCGCAGAGCACTGTTCGTGAAGCGATAAGAAGCCGGCACCGTGACGGGGGTCCAGGGGGGCACTACATAATAGGACGGTATATATAGCTAGTACATATGGTATAGCAAAGGGGTCCCGAAAGTGAGAACAAATTCCTAGGGCTGGGTCAGTCCCATGGGCTTGGCTTTGGCATGCTTTGACATGAATCAGCAATCCCATTCCTAGCGGAATAGGCTATACATTGTGCTTGACCTTGAAGGATCAGTAGGAGCCAGGCATTTCAGCACCATCAAAAAGCGGTGACATCCGGTCATTAAGCCACTGGTGGAGCCGCTGCCTGGCTCGCCACCTCCAAAGGGATGGAACATAATTTCAGCACCTGATCAGTTCGGGTGGTTGATGGATGGACAAATAGATAGTATACGGGGGATTCTATACACCCAAACTGGGTGGTGTTGATTCTTGGTTTCCTCATCAAACACATCACATCTCACTCCTCATCAAACACACTCTACCAAGCCATTATGGTCCCGGTCGCTTTGGAACGCCAAGAAACCTCTAGATCTAATTACTGAGTTACTGAATAAAATTGGACGCCTCTGATCGTGCAGCAAAGAAGCCTCTCCAAGTTGATCCCACAACAAGCCCCTTGATTGGTCTTCCAATATTTTGTGCCCTTATTACTGTATCTTAAAGCACCATGGTCCCGATGTCGGGCAAGAAGCAGATTGATGCACCAAGATCTGCAAGTGCTTCTCTGCGTTGACCCAGATCCCTCCACGTCCTCTTTCTCGGTGACATAGATCCCTCCTTGGTGGCCGTGGGAGCGCAAGCACTGAAAAAAAACATGCACTGTTCGACAGAGTATATAGCTTGAGCTTGTGCATATATATATATATATATACACCTGGGATCCAAGATGATCCAAGTACATTCTCAGAAGGTACGACTGGACCCTGCAAAGCTACATAACAGTGTCTCCAATCACCTTCTCAGAGGGTATGTGGATCCATTTCGGGAAATATAATATGTGATGTTTTTGTCGGAGTATGATGTGTTTGTGCTGTAGCCAAAGCTCGCGAGCCGGTCCACCACAGATTCTGCAGAAGGGGTTGAGGGTATCAAGATATCTGCTCTGCCCCCTTGGGGCGTTTCTTCCGAGCCACCCAACCCCTGACACACCCACCATCCGCTCCCCACCATCCACATCTCCCAAGTTGCTTGGAGGCCAGTGAGTCCTTCTCCGTGGAGCTCAAGCCTCCTGGAAGCGCGTGCATCTCCAAGCGTACAAAAGATCCAGGAAATGAGTCCGAAACGTTTCGCACGGCCGTTGGAACATATTTTATACGTATACAAACTACCCAAAGCTATGGGGTTTTGAGGACATCCCCCGTACTACTTGAATCATCTGTCTCACGAGAAATACATTACACATCATATATAGCGAGACTGATGCAGTTTGTTTCTTGGATCAAGCGGATCACCATGAGCAATGAGCAGCATCCTGCAAACGCATAGTATTCCTGAGTGGACAGCAGCAATCAGTGCATGGCTACGTGGCATATTTACATATATCATATATCATATAACTGCAAACATAGTGGACAGCAGCACCCTAGGGAACACCATGAAAGTCCAATCCAGGCTCCTGTCCTGAGAAGGTAGGGACAAACCCCCCAAAATGCCAGAAACCAAACGTCTCACTTGGTTTTCAGGTCGCAATGTCTGAACCCGACGTCTCCACCCACTTCTTCGCGCCACAACGGATGTCGTGGCATGAGCTGATCACGTACGGCGGCGGGATCGGTCGAAGGATCGATGGCGGCGACCTCCAGATTCAAAACTCAGGTCCTTCTATGGCATGCAGGGTCAAACAGGGAAGCCTCAAAACGAGTCACGGCAGAAGTCTTGAAGTACTTACTAGCGTTTAGTGTAGTTGCAGTTCGAGTTTGAGAACAGATTGCCCAAGTCTCATTGTTTTCTGTCCCCTCACGTGTCTTTTCGGGGCTGAGCAGTTCGAGGGCACACCACATGGGCACACAGCACGGTAGAGGCAGACCTGGCATGGCTACGACAATAATCTAAAAGAAGGACTCCCGCAAACCGAAGTCAAGAGTCAGCTCAGAACCACCGGTTCTAATATAGACCAAGGACTAGAGCAAGGGGGATCTTCTTAAAGATGACAAGTGGCCAGCGAATTTCTGAAAGGTTGGGAATGGAGAGGATGCGAATGTCCAGCGAAGAAAAAACCCTGGGAAACCACCAACCGCCGCTAATTGCCAGACTTCTCGAGTCGGCTTCCGTCAGGTCCCAAAAAGGATCCCAGGTACAAAGCACCTATATCAGCACAGAGTTCGGGTGGCTTGTTGGAAGGAGAATAGATAGCGAGGGATGTCTATAAACCACCCGAACTCCGCTAGGCCGCTAGTCAGACACGTGTTCATACGTGTTCTCTTAGCACAATGACAATAACAATGTGTTCACTCTCCGTGTTCACTCTCCGTGTTCACTCTCCGTGTGGTTTCTTAGAAGCGCGCGGTTTCCGTTCCCCAACCTGCCAAGGCACAACACTCCATGGAGGTGTGGCCCAAGCCTTTCAAGTTGAAACTGCCGTTGGGCGCCAGAAACCAATCGCCGATCGCCACCTCCGTTGGGTGCACGGGTCCCGTTTTGTGGGGGTTGTGGTTGTTGAAAGCCTGCCTCACACAGCTGGCAAGGCATATACAAACTGACCCAATTATAGAAGTTCCTGGTTGGGACATGCGTTAATTATTTCAATGAAGACCATGGTGCAGTTCCAATTCTGATCAAAAGCTGAAGAAACGAAGGAAGACATGACAGGCTAGCTTGATGCTAATGTTTCACCAAAGTCACAAACAGCTCAAAGAGTGCCTCTAGAATATGTTTGGGAAGTTTTTCAGACAGATAGAATGTTAGATTCCATCACCACAGTAACAAATCTGGATGATACAGTAACAAAGCCATTTTCGCTGCAAATCCGGAACCTGGCCCCTGGGACGATGGGTTTCCTTGCCAAAACCCCAAGGGACAGGTTCCTCTTTCACCTTGATCATCACAGTCTCAACCCT